ATCTATCGTCTTTATCTCCCCTCCTTCTTTTTTGTGTTTGTTACTCACTTGTAACACCTCTAATCTTCGGCACTTATATGACCTTATTGTGTTGCGAGTGCCGTAAAACACTTACTAAAACTAAACTACCCCCCCTCTCTCTATCTCTCTGTCTCTGTTTCTCCTCCTCCCCCCCCCTCCTCTCACGCGAAGAAAACTTAGGTGGAACGCACACCCTCACACTTTAAGAAGAAATAACATCCCCCTCCCCAACTTTCCCCAGAAGCACAAAAACAGATCCCGGAAAACTAGTTCTAATTCTTAATATCTCTGCATTTTGTTTGTGTCGTCACGCACGTGATTATTGGTGGGTTGTCTGGTTTGATTTGCTCCTTCTTTCCTTTCAAACATCTGAAGGTGCAGTACATACAGTTGCGTGGGTGGTTGGCGGGTGCTCTGGTGTGGTTTGCTCCTTTTTTCTTTTCAAACATCTGAAGGTGCAGTACATACAGTTGCGTGGGTGGTTGGCGGGTGCTCTGGTGTGGTTTGCTTCTTCTTTCCTATCAAACATCTATCGTCCTTATCTCCCCTCCTTCATTTCATGTTTGTTACTCTCTTGTAACACCTCTAATCTTCTGGGGCTCATAATGACCTTATGCAGTTGCGAGCGCTGCAAAACCCCTACTAAAACTAAAACAAACATAACATTGCAGGTGCTTGGGGGGCACTTTTCTTTCCCTCTGTCTTTTCTGTTTGTCTGACTTTTCCCCAGAACTAAATTACCCTTATTGGTTCGATGTGCTTCTCTATACTCAACAAACATTTGACAAAAGCATACAATAATTTTTAACAAAATCTCATTTCTCTTTTCTATCAAACATCAATCATCCTTGTTTCTCCTGCTCGTCCTTTTACAGAAATTGTTACTCTCTCGTAACACCTCAAATGTTCGACACTTATATGACCTAATTGTGTTTGCAAGCAAGTGCCTTAAAACTCTTTACTAAACCTAGAACCTGTGTCCTCAGACTGGCCACCAGCCGGCGGTCCGCGTGTGGGATGTGGTGGAGAAGACGCAGCTGGCCGAGTTCCGCGGTCACAAGTTCGGCATCAACTGTGTGGTGAGTACAATATATGGTCGCTTTTAAGCACAAGGGGGCAATCCTGAAAAGTGCTGTTTTTGAGAAAATCGAAAGTAAAGTTTTTGGACCCTTGTTCTTCAGTTTCTTTAAAAGACAAGGAGAGTTTTTCTTTATAACCAAACAAATATACACACCGATCGATGAAACCAAGCTTCTCTTATAGGTAGAGCAATGCCCACTTTTGGTGTAGGCCAAGATTTCTGGAAACACCTTGCATCCCTCAAAGCCTGGGTTGGCCCTAGCTGACAGGGTCGAAGCCCGACTCCTGAATGATCTGAATTATGTCGATGAGAGAAAAATGGAGACGAGCGACGAGGCATGCATCTGCAACAACTATTAACTGAAGAATTCCGACTTATGATGAGTGTTTATTTATGTTTATTGTGTTTTAAATAGCGACAACATAAAATATCTTTACAGGTATTGTAAAACGTTTTGGACATGAGAATGTAGATGAAGAAGTTTGAGCTCGAGTTGATAGCTATGAGCAGCTCTTCTAAGTCCAAAAAGAGATAAAACTGTGGGTTACTCATCCCGAACCAGGAAACGAACATTGAGGAGAGAAAAAGTACAAATCCTGGTGAACTACATCCGATGTACACTGCGCAGACGAATAACAACATCCGGGTCACTTTTCTGCTGTACCCGTTGTTTGTTGACGTCATAGCCAAGCGTGCTTTATCGGCTGTAGAAAGTTTGCATGCGGTGACTAAAGCAAATAAAACGACCAGAAAGAATGAAATTGGGCCTCTAATGGTGTTGATAAAAACTGTATTGTAAACTGTGATGAGTTGTTGGTTGTCTTCTAAAAATTTGGAGTACGCAAAAATGGGAAAGGTCCTATTGTATTTGTGATCGAATCCAACACCTATTTTTGTTCCTGCGAAAAAAGGCGCGAAAAGGGCCGTTGATACAGCCCATAGGCTGATCAATGCAGCCAACGTTGACTTAAAGGTGAGCCACTGGGAGACTCGTAAAGGAAAGCAGACGACAAGAAAACGCTGAAACGTCAGCAGGACCACGTGCGTCATGGACACAAACATGGCGACTCTGTAGACGGTGAAGACGCCGTGCACCATGACGTAAGCGTCGTAACGTTTGGCCAGCATGAAGTTGTCCTCTCCGCCCACCATTTCAGCGATGTACGCCAGAGGACACTGGAGCTTCCTCAGCCATAGACAGAAGAGGAACAGGAGGTCCGATATCGCCAGAGAGAGAAGCAGCAGGTTGGTGGGGTCGCGGTAGCCATGACGACGGAGAACCAGAACTGTGACCAGGTTACAAGAGGAGCCCACGGTGGTCACTATCTGGGTGAGAATACAGTTGATGACCAAGGTCATCTGGCGGGCTGCATCCTCACCCACAATAATTCTCGCCATGGCTTTGTCCGTGGGAAACTGGTTTGCGATCTTTGAAGAATTCATTGCTTTGGAATTGAACAAAAAAAAGTGGAGATGTTAAACTTTTCATTTCACATATCAAGAAAGCAAACAAATATTTTTTTTTCAGAACTTCGAACGAATACGCGCGTGTCGTTTTTCCCTTTTTGCTTAACCATCTACTGATTACTGATAAATTCGTCTTTGGTGTATTTGTCCCTGATTGCTTCCCTTCCTTCCTTTTTACTCTGAAAAAAAAAAAGGGCCGAATATCGAACCTGCGATATTGGTAATTAAATCAGGACTTTAAACTCGTACCAAGCCGACATGACTGGTCTTTGAAGCTGCTGACACCTATTGGGGCCGTTTTATGATACTGTGAATGTCTTGTGGGTTGATGCATTGACAGAGAAACAAAATTCCGTGTCTCCATTGTATAACATTACAATAAGAGTGAATGATTACGTTACTCAATCGGCGCATGTGGTGAAGCGGGTACGCTTCAGGTGGGGAGAATTTTTATCGTGTTTTTCGGTCTTTCTGCGAGGACGTTGTATCCCTCTGAGCCCAGGTTGATCCTGACATGCTCTGCCGAAGTGTGCATCGTGAAATATCTACATGGTGTCGATGGGGGTGTAAAAACACTTGTATCAAGAAAGAGAAAATTTACTCACATACTGCCTGTCGTTGTTTCCCCACCGTGCTTTTCTCATCAATTTAGCTGACAGTTTTGACTCAGGTGCACTAAGTGATGTACGTAATATCGTCTTTCAGGTAGAAACGATCGTGTCTAGAGATAGATCTGAAAGTTGTCGAGAGATCATGGGTTAGATTCCCGGTAAATAGAGTAGAGGCACGAGTAGAGCATTTTGTTATCAAGAGATGCACTTAAAGACGTGTTGTTTTCAGTACGACCAATTACAAAAACTGGTTGTGATTTAGGATAAACCGAGGAAGGGAGAGGTAGGAGGGGCTGCGAGAAGAAATT